CAGACTATCTACCTTTTTAATATTGAAAATGCAGAGTTCTACAATGGGTATAAATAACTTCTAAACTTTTTTTAGGACTGACATACAAATAATTTATCTTAATGATGGAAAACAACAATCTGGCTTTGGTAAAGCAGCAGGGAGATAGGACAGGAAGGGATTTTATAGAGTCTGACATTCTATAAATATGTATGGGATCCATTCTCACTCTAGATTGTCAGTAAAATATTGAATCAAGTTCTAACCTTTTACTCTGTTTGCAAGGATCTCTGCATGAACTCTGAAGCTCAAAACTTTGATGAAGGAAACAGATAATCAGACTGACTTCAGCAATGTTAATTTAGAATTCTGTATTTGTTATTTCCTTTCTCAAATAAACCCCTTTTTTCTCTATCTTAACATCTGGTTGCACTGTTTTAAAGAAAATTTCTCACTAAAAGCTTCTTCAGTTGTGTGCTTAAGCTATACCTTGTTCTTCTAAGATTAGTGGTGAGCAGATAAGTTCTGCATTTTCTCTGTCAGTTTTCATACAATCTGATGAAACAACATCTATTTTAGAAATTCTCACAAAGGAGAAAAGGTTCTCAGAAAAATTGTCTTGGTGGATTATGATATTCTTGCACTTACTTAGTTATGCAAAGTCCAAAAATGTGTATGATCATTCTGTCTTTCAGTGTAAAAATATGTCCAGCAGTATGTAGCCTCCTTGACTTTCCATGTTTTCATTAAATTAAATTAAGTTGCATTAAATTCCAATGGTGTTATGGACATCTGTGGGAAATGGTGTAATGGAAGGCAAATGGCAACATGTGTGTCTCAACACAAACTGCATACATGCTTTCTATGTCAGGACACAAGTACAAAAGGCTGGGGTGGGGGGCATGTCATAACACAACATTCATTTGGCCATTTTCATGTCATCATGATTTGCACTTAGGAAGGAACGAATGACATCTTGAGTGAATTCTTCCCTTGGAGCTTTTTCAGAAGTGTGCTAGTATAACCACTAGGGGGCGGCCTGCTCTTGAGAAACTGCTGAGGAATTTCTCTTTCTTTGAAGAAACTGAGGAATCATCCAAACAATTTTCTTCATGTTGGGTAGAGAATTTCAAAAGGCTGCTTGTACCCATCTTTAATCAGGATATTTTTACCACTTATTTTTTGTGGTTAAATTCTGAAACTTTTGGATTTGGGAAAATACATGCCAAATGACCAGTTCTACCCTTATTACCAGAACTGAGTACCAGAACAGAGTCTTTCGCAGAAGAATTTAGAAGCTCATTGAGTGACTAGACAGAGTCTAGGCTAGGCTGCATCAGGAGGTTTAATCTGACTTCGTAATGATGCCTTTGAACTGTGGTGCTGGAGAAGACTCTTAAGAGTCCCTTGGACTGCTAGGAGG